GGTTAGCTTGCAGTTTAGCGATCTCCACTTCAATATTCTGTTCTCAGAAAAGTGTAATTCATTAAGTGTTCATTCATGAGAGAGAGAGAGAGAGGCCGTGTATGTATGAATTACCACCGTTTTGCCACGTTTCTCTATTAACCGTGAAGCTGTGGCTTTAAATGCTTTAGAAACGATGATGTTACCAGCTTCTTGAGAAAGATAATGTAGCTCTTTAGAGATTAAGCTATTTTATTGATAAAATTGCGGAGCAGTGCTTAAAAGTTTGTCTGAGTGCTAAAAAGAATGTCTGTGTGCACGCGCAGCATGATCTGACTAAATGTAGTCAGATGTATCGTATCATGACTTTGCTGGTGATACACAGCCCTAATATCCCCCCCCCCCCCCCCCCCCCCCCCCCCCTTATATAAAAAAAAAAAACATGTGAACTCCCCCAAAGTCCATGGTATAGTTCGAACACTGAGCATAAGCCACACTTTTTATCTCCCATTAATGTACTATTTTGAGATTAGTCATTATGAACGACAAGTTGACAAATTCCCCCCCCCCCCCCCCCCCTTATATAAAAAAAAAAAACATGTGAACTCCCCCAAAGTCCATGGTATAGTTCGAACACTGAGCATAAGCCACACTTTTTATCTCCCATTAATGTACTATTTTGAGATTAGTCATTATGAACGACAAGTTGACAAATTCTCCAACAACCAGCTAGTTGATAAATGAGGTCAACTTGTTTTAGATGCTTTAATTAATGCACTCTCTGACAAATTTCTGACTACTTGATTTTGAAAACAAGTAGTTTTGATCATTTCAAGTGCTTTTTTATTCCTCTAATCTACTCCTGACAAGGAGATAAAGCTGTTGATGATCGAGTGCAAATTATATCAATGATATCGCTTGTTGTCAAAATGGAGGAAAGTGGAGCGACTCTCACCTGATCGATTATTGGGCGAGGTCCGCACAGGAGAGATAGATGGAGTGCGAGAGGAGGAATACGGTCGTTGTCTGTCTCTCTCAATTGTAGATGAAGAGCCAACGAAGTGATACTGAGAATAGCCGTCCTGCCATAAAAATAAGAGGAGCATGATAATCTGTTCATCCCATGGGCGTCGGAAGCAAAATAAATGTGGGTGGGTCCTCCTCCAGAAAAAATTTACTGGAGTATATGCCAAAAGACGGCTGCTGAGCAACGTTTCCAGTGGTGTAAGTGTAACGCGGGTTGCGTAGTGTTTTTGATGCAAGCGACCCAAGTTTGCGTCCGCCTTTTGCGAAATCGTTCTTCTCCCTTTTCACATCTCATATCACATCGGAAAGGCTTTTGTTTTCAATAAAAATTAAAATCAAGAAAATAATCGAAAAGTTGAAATAAAGTATCAGGTAGGGTTAGGTGTATCTGAGCAGCAGATGCTGATGCTTTGTTTACTTTGCTGTGTCCGGGAGTGTAGCAGGCGCGAGTAGTGAAAACACGAAATGGAGTTTCATTTATATGGATACTGAATGAGGCAAGTGGAATGGATTTGAGGAAGCAGCAGCGTGGAATTCAAGGCTGTAGCTAAATGGAGTTTAATTTATTAGGGCATTCGTCATGTGGAATGGATTTGACTGACGGCGCTCTGAAAAGTACACATATTCGCTAAATTAGAGACGGTAAAAGTGAGTGGCTCCAATATCATTGGTCTTCAAAAGTGGGTAGGTTCTTTCCCACACTCATTCAACGGTTCCGACGCCCATGGTTCATCCTGAAACTTCACTCATTAAAACCGTTTGGTTACAAGTATATGACAGACACAGAAAGAAAACAAAACAGATTTTCATGCATTTGAAACTGAATTCCTTTAAAAAACTTGGATCAGATAAACCAGTTAGCACTTGCTGGTAGATGCTGTAGCTGCACCACTTGGCAGCAAAAAGCCTCTAACGGCATTGATGCCCATTTAAAAGTATATAGGTGCAAATGTAATAGATGTGAGAACAGCGAGGTCTTCTGAATTTATTACCTTTTTATAGAGGCTTCGCAAATCTCTGTACTGCCACATGCTGTTGAGGACTTGAGATGCCGCCTTCACCACCTTCGGTGTGTGTCTGTAGGGAAACATAGAAGAGGAAATTAATACAATGCATAGCCCTATCTGCAATAATATAAGCAACATGAGTGAATTTTCAGTTTCTAATCCATTTCTGGGCTGCTAATATAATGGATTGCTTTTGAGGAAGCAGCAGCGTGGAATTCAAGGCTGTAGCTAAATGGAGTTTAATTTATTAGGGCATTCGTCATGTGGAATGGATTTGACTGACGGCGCTCTGAAAAGTACACATATTCGCTAAATTAGAGACGGTAAAAGTGAGTGGCTCCAATATCATTGGTCTTCAAAAGTGGGTAGGTTCTTTCCCACACTCATTCAACGGTTCCGACGCCCATGGTTCATCCTGAAACTTCACTCATTAAAACCGTTTGGTTACAAGTATATGACAGACACAGAAAGAAAACAAAACAGATTTTCATGCATTTGAAACTGAATTCCTTTAAAAAACTTGGATCAGATAAACCAGTTAGCACTTGCTGGTAGATGCTGTAGCTGCACCACTTGGCAGCAAAAAGCCTCTAACGGCATTGATGCCCATTTAAAAGTATATAGGTGCAAATGTAATAGATGTGAGAACAGCGAGGTCTTCTGAATTTATTACCTTTTTATAGAGGCTTCGCAAATCTCTGTACTGCCACATGCTGTTGAGGACTTGAGATGCCGCCTTCACCACCTTCGGTGTGTGTCTGTAGGGAAACATAGAAGAGGAAATGAATACAATGCATAGCCCTATCTGCAATAATATAAGCAACATGAGTGAATTTTCAGTTTCTAATCCATTTCTGGGCTGCTAATATAATGGATAATGGAAACATATTTTTTGCAAAGAGTGCAAACTAAATAAAACCCTGTGGTATAATACAGAAACTTTATAGAAAGTACTTTCTCAGCTATATAAACAAAGTGTTGGTAGATGTGGACAATAAATAGCTCAGTAAAAATTAATTTTAGTTCAGCTCAATTTGTTCATAGATTTCTCTAATGGTGATAAATTCTAACATAGAAAATAAGCTCTAACGGGAACCATAAATACTATAACATCTACAGTAAATGTTTTGGCAATGAGTTTTATACTACTCTACCATTCAAAAGTTCCAAAATGTTTCTGTCTTTTAAGCTTCACCATGGCTGCATTTATTTGATCAAAAATACAGTAAACTGTAATATTGTGAAGTATTACTATAATTTGAAATAACTGTTTTCTATTTTAATATAATTTGTCATTTATTCCTGTGGTGGCAAAGCTGAATCTTGAGTCTCCAGTCTCCAGTCTTTACTCCAGTCTTCAGTGTCAGAAATCATTCTAATATTTCTGTGGAAACCATATTACATGTTTTCAGGATTCTTTGATGAACAGACAGTTCAAAAGAAATCTTCTGTAACATTATAAATGACTTCACTTTCCGTTTTGTAGTAGTCTGTCAACCATAAAAATAACCATTATCTTGTAATGCACTTTCAGAGGTAACTAATCCAGTACAATAGCTCCCAGTAATAGAGCTACTGGACTTCCATCCATCCTAATATCTCCTGAGAGGAGATTTGACTTTTTGAGAGTGTGGTTTTTCCACACCCTCTTGCTTTCTAAAAACGGTCTTGCAATACAACTGCTAAAAGTGAATTGCTTAAGTAGTTTTTCCTTTTTCATAATACAGAATAGGAGATGTAATGAATGGAAGGTCCAGCATGTCCTCTTCCTTTACAAACTAATTTCCTTTCCATTTAAATATGCCATTTAAATATGCCTAATTCTACGGGACATAGAGTAAAATGGGGTTTTGTCTACACACTCTAATTGGTTGTGATCATGTTACAGAATACTAAGATACTAACTTGTCTCCTTTGCTGCGGGCAATGCCGATGAGTTTCTCAATGCCGCCGGCGTCACGAAGAGCCTTGGTGTTCTCCATGTTCTTGGTGATGACTTCATGCAGAGCGCAGCAGATCGCCGTGATGGTGTCATCGGACATGCTCTTGCTGGCGCCGCCGGTGCCAGTACTGTTGTTATTGTTGCCACCCGGTAGACGATGGACCAGATCCCTCATGGCATACTTGCCTATGGGATGCGTGAATGAGATGAACGAAAAAGAAAATTCAGAGAAGAGGCGTGACAACCTTTTCAGAGATTTTGGATTCGGATTGTACCGTCGGCATGCAGAGCTCTTTAAATGCACTGAACCTCAAGGCCGCAACTGAAAATGCCAAAGCGTCCGATACACCCACATCACTACCCAGCAGCTCTATTACACTTAACGTGACCGCAAAAGTCCCATTCCCACCAGGGAGCTAATTCTCTCTGCAACGACCCGTGCTACAAAACTGCTTTCAACCGGAATGCATTGAAGTTACATGAAAGAAAGGTTCCCATGAGCACTTGCAGCTTTGCCCGCTTCATCGCTGATTTCCTTAAATAATAAAGGACATTTGAACAGCTCTATCTGAAATGAGATAGACTGCCGTCTCGACATTTGTACAGTTTTATGCCGTTCCTTTTGCTCTATATTCCAATAGAAATTCACATGCCTTCGAACTCACGCAGGGCCAAGACCAGACTGAAAGAGTGTGAGCGGTTGCCAGGGAGACAAGGGGGCCCATCAGAATACACAAACTATTAAAAAGATCAATAGTCTGTTAGTGTCGTGAGCAGCCTTTCAAACAATGGCACTTCGCCTCACTGCAATACCTGACTAGAAATGCTACACAGATGCCCTCGCTGATAGACACATCACAATTACACACGCTCACACACAAAAGGAAATAGATCTTGAAAGGCCATACAAGTAATTTAAAGGTACACGTACCTCTGCGGCATTCGGCTCTGCTGGAGTCAAAGAGAAAATGTTAGCTTGAGGCAAACACACTTCCGTGTCCCAAACCTACCTATGAGCTCCTTGTTTCTGACATCAAGGGCCATGTTTCGGAGAGCTGTGGCCACGGCGCAAACCACCCGGTCATTGTCTATTCTCAGCAACTCCACCAGAATGGGCAGTCCTTTCTCTTTCCGAACCGCCGCACGGATGTACACCGACCACTACAGGCAAAGGAAACGGACAAAAGGGTCCCGCAAAATGATTATCAATACACAGCTGAACAGAAACAGAGGCATTGGAATGAGATTTTGGTGTCAACATTGCATGAAATTAGGGCTGTGCGATTAATCGAAATCATCATAAAATCGCGATTTGAGCGTGTGCGATTTCTAAATCGCTTTATAGCACGATTTTCCGCACCCCCGACCTCCCGCAGCTATCCGCACCAATCAGAATGCAGCGCGCCTAAATGGAGCACGAGAACAGAACAGACCGGGCGGGCATACAAACGTAACGCCAGGTTCACACACTCCATCTGTGGTGCATATTTTTTTTTGCGCCCATGTTAACGAATCAGAGTGTTCACACTGCACGCGTTTGCGCTCCGGCAGTGTGCTCCAGGAGCGGTGCATCTGCAGCAGACATGCTGCGATCGTTTCTGCACGGAGTCTATTTCTGCTGTGCTGCACGCGCTGAAAGTGACAGTGCATTATTTGCAGTAAAAAATAACTGCAAATAATGCACCATAATATGGTGCAAATAATGCACCATAAATTTAGTAATTACACCATAAATGCATATAATTAAAGTCTACTGTTTCACAGTCAACACATGGCTTTTTGGCTAGATTTAACATTTTTTTAGATAAACAAGGCAATAGTAGATGGCACTCGTGGTGGTAGTTAAACAAAATTATATTTATTGAGTTTAAACGTGAATATGTCTATGAAAGATTGTATTATGGTACTGTGATAAAAGAGAATCACAATTCTGAAAATTTTCATTTTCAGAAACAACGTTCGAATTTGAAATCCAAATAATGGATAAATGTTGTATTTGTGGTAAACAGCCACGGATCAGGAGCGGACTGCAAACGCGTCCTGTGCGAAAGCAAAATGAGTCCGTGCTGCTTCTGCACCGCATACACATACTGTATACGCACTGCAGATGGAGTACGTTTGAACTTGGCGCAACAAATTTAGTTCAACATCTGAGGCAACGCCACAGAAGATCCCTGGACACGGGATTTTTTTTTCTGTCATACATGTACTTAGTTACTGTCCGCCTCTGTTCTAGAGACATGTTACAGTTTTTTGATAAAGCTCTAATTGGTTTTCTTTTGGAAATATGTTTCAAATTCACTTTGCACATGCATTTATAACTGTAAAGCATGTCTGTGTGTGTCAAAATCAAGATTAAAATCGAAATCGCTAAATTGATCAAAGAAATCGCTCTAGGTTTTTTTTGTAAGTATCGCACAGCCCTACATGAAATGTGAATTTAATTCATTGCACTGTTGTTTGTTTCACTTTTCTGAGCAGAAAATGAGGACAACAGAAGATTTTGAAGTGCAAAATTGCACAATTTGACAGAATATCTGAGTCACTGTTTAAACTTTCAAGACTTTGAGTGAGAATTCAGCTCTCTACATTGCATCCATTTGAAGATGTGAGTTTGAAGCCATCAGCTTTCTTACACTGGTTGTGTAAATTCGAAAGAGACTGTGTTCTCAATATAAAGTTCACTATGTTCTCCAAGTTTGTGTTAGACATCTGTTTGCAGTTTGTAGAACTCCATGACCTTGACAGACAAAACTGAGGTATGAATGTGTATTAGTGTCAGTCATAATGGTGATGGGTGCCAGAGCCAGTTTGTTTGGTTCGTGGCTCTTTGGGTGCAGAGTTACTCACAGGTTTTAAGGTGGGGCCTACCTTCCAGCTACCCGCTGCCAGATTCTGTAGAGCCCCAGCCGCTCCCTCCAATGTGTCCGGGTTCGAGCACTCAGACAGTAGAGTGAGGTATGGTTTTACTATGGACGGGTGCCACAGCATCTGCAGTCCCTTCGGAGGGTCACTAGAGTCTGGGAACGGCCCGACACCATCCCACTGAAACCAAAGAAAGACAGAGTGTTATTACAGAGTGTTACTATCAAGAAATAGAATCATAAAAATATACATTCCACAAGGTTACAAAATAGGGCCTGAAACAAAACAGAATAGACAAAGAAAGCAGGTGCTCAACCTTTATTAAATATAGATCATAAGCCTTTATTTAGTTAATTTTTTATTCATTTTTTATGTGGGCTTTGCAACCTTGTTAGCAATATATGTGATACTTAACCATGATTTCAGTTTTTTTCTAGCAATAAAACAATAAATAAACACCAAAGTAGCATGGACAAAACATATAAAAGGGAAAGAATCACCAAAAAAGCTAACAGTGTTTCTAGAAGTTTACAGAAGCCATTACTTCAGTCCTCAGTGTCACATGATCCTTCAGAAGTAATTCTAATATGCTGATTTGGTGCTCAAAAACATTTCATTTTCACTGTTGAAAACAGTTGTTTTGCCTAAAACGACTTTGATGAATAGTTCAAAAGAACAGCAGTTATTTGAAACGGAAATCTTTTGTGACATTATAAATGTCTCAACTGTCACTTTTGATCAATTTAATGCATCTTTGCCAAATAAATTTCTTTGGGAAAAAAATGGTTTTAACAACAATGAACTAAATATCAGCAAAAATTATGACACTGTTGTATGGCTTAAATTGCTAGATACAGTGGAGATGGGACAGGCCAAAAATCACAATTTAACAAGGATTGAGAGAGTTTCACAACAAAAAACATGGGATTTGTGCCAAAGTGTAATGGGACACCAAATTGTACCCTATTCATGGAAAGTGCCAGATGCTATTTTATTTTTGGCCATTTTATTAATAAGCACAGTACAGAGCCATCAGGAAATGATGGTGAGAAGAGGTGGAAACAAGACTGGGCAATGTCACGAGCCAGACTAGAACTCATATTGCCTGCTTGAGCATACCAGCTCAATGTGGCTTGTGCACTGATTATCATACCATAGTACGTAATGATTATTCATATACAGTAGTATTTACATGGCACTCCGAGGTACTTTGAAGAATCTCATAGTATTTATTGGAAATAAAATGGTACTTTTTTGCTGCAAATTGAAATATTTGAAGATAAAGCTCACTATTTGTTTAGGATACAGCGTAATTAAATAGACAGAGCAAACTCAACCGTCGCACAACCAGATGTGCATTTGCATCGCTGTTAAAGGAACAGATGACTCACAGACAATTTAGTTATTTAAAAGCCACAATGCAAAGTAATGCCACCTTTTACCTCGCTATTCATGCCATGCAAATGCTGAACAAACACTCCCGATGCCCTTATCTTCATCTGTTTTCAGAAACTAAATGAAATCAGCCTGAAAAATACATAATTATTCACTGGAGGAGGACGAGTGTCGGCGCAGGCGACCCGCACGTGAATGCCGCTAAGTGATGCTAATTGCCAGCAGCTGCAGGGATAAAAACCCCCGGCCCACCTGATCGTGGCTCTTCTTTTTCTTTTTCTTCTTGCCCCAGCAGCCGGAGCTCTCCGCATCCTTCCCGCTGGCATCGGTGCACAGAACCCCGTCCAGCTCCTCCGATCCCATCTGCTGCCCCTGAGACGTCTCTGCCGCCAACCTGTATGACAGGTTCCGCAGGATGCACACGCAGTTCTCGATGGTCTAGAAGGGGGCGGCGCGTTTGATGCCAAAGATTGGAGAGAAAACAAGTTTTCAGATTACAAAAATGGCAATACATGGAAACACCTGCAAATGGGAGAATTCAAATGGGAGTATCAAAATGACTTGTTGTATTTGCGAGACAATCTGTCCTCTTTGGGAAGGCTGTGCATTATTGTGCTCTGAACTCTTAATAGTCTCTTGTTAGATTAGTCCTCTGGACGGTCTCCAGTGGAGGGCTGGAGAACTAATCCTAGTGTGATGAGCAGTGAGGCAGGAAAAACAAAGAGGACGACTTTGATCTTGTAAATGTTTTCAGAGGGATTAATGTGTGACGCTCTTTTTTCCCTCATTCAAACTTGTTCTCACAAAGTATTATGCCAGTAACAGAGACCCCTCGAAAATCAAACAAAAACTCAATATAGAGAGGTGCGTCACTGCATGACTTTATCTGCATAATTACCATAAAGCTTGCTTAAAAGCAACCGCAGCTATTGTTGTTTTTTACCACATTGTTGGTGGTAAAGCAATTAGAGGAGCCAAAACAAAACCTAAACTGTCTGTCTAATACAACGTCTATTGCCCCTGCTGGGAAAAATAAAATAAAATGCTGGTTTGGACCAGTTTGAAAGCATCCAAGATGGTTTTATCTAGAGTTAGATGAGAAATGCTAGGGATTTCTTCTGTTGAACACAAATTAACATAATTTGAAGAATGCTGGTAACCACACAGTTGACTATGGAAGTCAATACCTCCAACATTCTTCAAAATATCTTCTTTTGTGTTCAGCTGAAAACAGTTATTACTGCATATAAACCTGCTTGACCAGTGAAGCACAAATCAGCATGAAATACCCACTGATCAATGTGTACTGTTTAGAAATCAACTGTAGTTTGTACATTTTTTTTTTTAGTTCAAACCATGTTGGTTTAACAATATAGAACAGTTGTTAATGATGCTGGTGCACCGGTGCTGGAGTAATAATTTCTTGCTGTTATTTAATCGGTTCGATATTGAATTTATGTCAGATTATTGCTGTAAATAAACACAGCATCTGAAGGCTAGTTCACTACCTTCGCTCTACATTGTTTCGCTTTATTTACAGATGTTGGATTCAATCACAAGTTCCCTCTTATGTCATATTCCTCCGGAGTACCAGAGCACATTCACATGTGCACTCTTCAAAAGCAGCACACTCATTCTCAAACTAAAATATGTACAATGAAATTCGTATATATATGAAATTAAAGATATAGATGGAACTGCCTGTTAGCTTGCTTGTTTTGCTCAAGAGCATGATGTATTCAAGCCATACAAACAAGAAACTCTGCTTCTAACCACAGGTAGTTTCAACCACACAACTATATGATGTTGTGTGCAAATGTTTATTGGAACTATGGTTTTGGGAAACACTGAATCACTGAACTATGTTGGTAACCTGTGTCCATAGTTGGCTAATAATGCACACAAGATCATGAGTGGTTTTTAGTGTTATGTGCAATATTCATCAGACTGTGAGCGAATGGACTGTGGGTGGTTGGTGGGCGTGCGTCTGAGACTAAGCTGGTCTAGACTGAGTTTTTCTTCAATCTCATCTAACATTTAGCAGTGGAGAAGTGCTCCAAATGGTTGGGGAGTAAAAACTGCACAACTAAACCTGCTAGACTTCTCGGAGTCGCTCCGCTGAATGCATATACTTTGGTAGAAAGGCAGAGGAGGGAAGGTCAAACCTTGCTGTCGATCTCACTGGTGCCCAGGGCTGTCTGGATGACATAGAGCAGCGCATCAGTCAGTCCCTCACACTCTCTCATCCTGCGGCGGGCCTCTTCTCCGGCTGAGCTCACATTCCTGTAGAGAACACATTCACACACACATTCACACAATGTCACGCATGTTGTATTATTGACTCTATTGATTACATTTTGGCAGTTCTGAGCTAAATCAATACTCAACCAACCAAAGGGCAGATGGTCTTCAACATCAATAAGCTTTTCATGGAAATGAGTAGTAACTCACTTTTCCCCTAAGTTCTTTTCAAACAGAGCAATGTTTGGACAGCGGAGTTTTTATACTTTTCAAGAAGTCAACTCGGCAACACAAGAAAGTTTTTAACGTAGAAAAATTCCAAACAGCAGCTTTATGAATCACCAGCAACATGCCTCAAAGCAACAAGCTTAGCATCCCAAGAGTTGGAGACTCGGGAGACCTGAATCGGGAAGTCTGATCTGAGCAGAGCCTTATTGGAAGGTGCCTGTGAGAAATCAAAGACCACATCCTGTCGTCTCTCTCTCGCGCACTCTCCAAGAAGCTTCTAAGAGATCTGTGTGTCTCAGGCAGCTGCAGGTGGTGTGGCAACTGTGTCCAACCATTAAATATTCAATCAGACTCCTAGTTCCTCAGCCATCCATGAAGAGGATTAATTATCACGCTGGGCGTAGGGAGCTTAGTCCAGCCATCCAAGAGTGACTCAGCACTTTCTACAATCCTGCTGCTTCAAACCTGAAAGCTGATGCGCAGGGGGAGAGAGGATGGTATATGCATGTAATATGTGCTATAAATGTAAAGTGCCGTTAACATAAAAATGAGTTTTACAGCAAAAAGTTTCTGAGCTCCAAAAGTACCTGCAGATTTTTTGATGTTTTGAGTGAGCTTGTAATAGCTCCAAAATACACCTTTCCATCTAATCAGCAAAAACTAGAAACTGGAAAATATGATATTAAAATTAACAATATCAAAGCATTACGATGAAAAGGCCTGAACATGTGTAAATAATGCGATCATCACTTATGGATGATGCATCAACATTCATCACATAGATAAAAATGACAAAGCCACAACATACAGCAGTCAAATGTATTAGCGAGGCTATTTAGACAGCACATAGTGGACAACCCAGATACATAAACATCTGACACTATGCCAAAGGTTTTCCCATTTGGGGTCTCAAAACCAAAGAGGTATTCTTTATCAAAGTTAAGACTCTGCCACGCCCCCCTAAAACAGCTCGTTCTAACACGCCCCCACATATCTACCTCACTATGTGGAAATATTTGCATAATGCGGCCCAAATGTGCACGCAAAGAAAGAAGGCATGGTTTCAGGAACAGCAGTTAGTGTTGATGCAGCATGTCAGGGAGACGCTGTGTTTTTCTAGGCGAAAGCAAAAGCACTTTATTTGGCCTTCCGAAAAAGTAGATGCATTTAAGAATCTTTAAGATTACTTATAACAGATCAGCAATGCATTTTATGGACGACCGTTTCATGAACATAGGAGAGGAGGTCATTCTGACTTTGCTATGACAATCTGGCGCTTCTGAATCAGCTACTGTTTTGTTATTAGTTTAAGTATTTGCTACTGACTGTTCAAATGCGGAGTTTTGCGCATCGTGTGTGTGGGTGTGTGTATGTGTGTGTGTGAGAGAGAAAGAGAGAGAGACAGGGTCTCAACCATCTTAACTGTGGCTTGTGTAATGCAAACACATACCAGCTTCATCACTGTGTCTGTTCCCCTTTCGGGCTCTGTCTTTACATTTATTTTGAAAGATGAAGCTTGCGATTAAGGTAAGGGGCGTTACATTTCCAACGCGTGCTTGTGGTGTTCGGCCAATCACAATGCACTGGGTCAGCTGGCCAATCAGAGCAGACTGCGCTTGTCGGCATATTCTGATACACCAAATACACAAAATAATGATCTTTAAAAAAAGCATCATATGACCCCTTTAAGATAAGCTATTGAGCCATACTCTTAACTTGCTAACCACAAGCAAATTGAAATGTTTAGATCTGCAACACATAAAAGTTATTATTCAACATTTTTATGTTTTAGACAAATTTTAGGACAAAATATATTGAAATATATAAAAAATATTATAACAAAAATATTTACACTCACAAAGGCTGCATTTATTTGATAAAAAAATTACAGTAAAACAGTACTATTCTGAAATATTATTATTACAATTTAAAATAACTTTTCTATTTAAGTATATTTTGAAATGTAATTTAATAATGGGATGGGAAAGCTGATTTTTTCAGCAGCCATTACTTCAGTGTCACATGATCCTTCAGAAAGCATTCTAACGTTGATTTGATGCTCAAGAAACATTTCTAATTATTATCAATGTTCAAAACAATTGTGCTGCTTTAATATTTTTGTAAAAAACATGTTTTTTTGTTTAGGATTCTTTGATGAATATTAATTTCAAAAGAACAGCATTTATTTAAAATGGAAAACTTTTGTAACAATATAAATGTCTTTACTGTCACTTAAAGACATCAGTTTAATGCATCCTTGCCCTAGTATTAATTTCTTGAATATATTATAATGAATGGAGTAGTTAAAGTAACAGGCAACATAATTGCTTTAGATTCCAAATGAGATTTTTGCAAGGGGAAAGCTTTGGCACGCCACCAGGTCCACAATCACAGTGCCTAACACTATTCCAGAGCTACAGAATCCTGTTGTTGAATCCCACCAATACTGGGCAGAATATAATCCTACTAAAGTGGCAGAACGAGCTCCATCACAAAATGGTTTTATGCACAGAGTCTTAGACTAGCCAAATTCATCAAATGCAACTGAATCTATTTATATTTAAATCAATTAACTTAAGCTATCAGTGAAGGGCTCCTGGAAAAGCCTCAAAGCTAATTCATAAATGTGTTTGGTTGACACACAGAAGCAGAGAGCCATTATCCAGCGGTGTACTTTTGCCTGCTGAGACCCCAATATACGGTGACATTTCTGAAGGCGCACAAATTCATCATATCATGTCGCTTTGAAAGACGGAAACTCTCAGGCATTAACATAATATTTGCATAATTCTTACTTGAATAATCACCTAATAAAACAATGAATTGCTTCTAGGTGAAGATTAAGCCTCTTAAGAGCAACAACAGGTCCTTCAAAGTGATGCTTTGCCTGTACATAAATATGAATGAACAATGAAAGACAATAGATGTTGAATTAAAACTTGAATTGACATTAATTAGGAACTGTACCTGAGGCACCCGGTAGCATTGCGGAGCACCTGTGAGGAATGCAGGTGCAGCTTGCGGTCGTCCTGCTGGGGCGAGGTGTCCCAGCCTGAGTGAGGAATAATGACTGTGTTGGTCAGCACTGCCAGAGCATCCTGAATTATGGGCATCTTCAGAGCATCGCACGAGGACAAGTTCCACAGCACACCTGTACACAAGAACATCATCTATGAAGCAAAAAATGTCTGATCCAGTGAAGAATACACACACTGTATTTATAGACTACAATTTTCCTTCTTCACCTTGAGTTTTTGTTGTGCAGAAAAATATATAATTAAAAACACTGATTACAGCAGGCTACAAACATGCTTTTGAATATTGCATGAGGTCTTGGTCAAGAGCCCTCAAATGAAACACTTTCAAAAGTTTCACTAGTGTGTCCTCATCAGCTCTTAGTATGAACGTTTGAGGGTGTGATCCAAGCCACATCACAATCAAGAATGAACTGTGAACTGCTAGAAAGTAGCATGCAGTTGAACTGTGGCTCATTTTGCATGCTATTAAAAGTAGTATGTTATAAATATTTCATCTCTTTCATGAGACCCCTACAGCTCTGATTCAGTGAACAAGGGAGCGCTTTTGCATGTTCCTCCTCCCTGCTGCTAGCAGAGTATAAAGCTCTGTCCCAGCTAATTGCATCTCATCTTGTTTGTTAAATATCACAGACTTACAGTCCTAAACAGTATGGTGCACCCCATATTATACAGTAGTATGATTACAATAGTATGTCAAAAGTAAGATGTACGTTTTTTATAAATTATTTTTTCATTCAGCAATAATGGATTAAATTTATCCAAAAAAAAAGACTTTTATAATGTTACACAATTATAAATATGTAACATTTTAAATAATTGCTGCTCTTTTGAACTTCTGAAAAAAAAAGAAATACACACACCATATCATCCACAAAAATATTATGCAGAACAGTTGTTTTCAATATTGATTATAATAAGAAATGTTTCCTGAGCACCAAATCAGCATATTAGAAAGATTCCTGAAGGATCATGTGATATTATTTAATAATATTACATTTCTTACTGTATTTTGATCAAACAAGAGACTTTCAAAAACTGACCCTAAATTTTTGGTAGTGTATGTTTGTTCGAAAATGTTCACTCCTGTGTTATAACAAACAGCTTCCCAAAATAGTGCACAAAATTTAGAGCAGTGAAACCAAAATCCTAAAAATAGTATCCCAAATGGCAGAGCACATACTGTACATACTTCCTTTTTTGTCCAAAAGAGGATTTTTTTCCATAACGTTTTTTTTTCAGTTTCAGAAATATGTCAAGAAAAACAAGTTCGAAGCTGCCACAGTACTAACAAATTTATCTAGATGCTAGCACACACAAGCAAGCTCAAACCGTATTAAATGGTACTCAACCATATAAAAAGGTGATGATAGTACATCTGAATAGTCTAAATGCATCTAATGTTGTTGCTACGTATTCAAAAGTATATACTTTTACATTAACAGTGAAGTACATACTTTTATTACACAGTAGAAGTATTCAAATTGGAAAACAGTCTATGGATGCTTGCCTGTCATTTGTTTGGTACCCTCCACTGATGCGAGTTTGCCATGTGGCATCACCCACAACGCTCATATGGGCAGAGGCGGACAAAGTACTCAACTCCATTACTTGAGTGAAAGTACAGATACCGCTGGTCAAATATTACTCCATTACAAGTAAAAGTTGTAAAGACAGATTTTTACTTAAGTAAAAGTACAGAAGTACTTGCTTTTAAAAGTACTTAAGTACCAAAAGTAAATTTCCTTTTTTATGTCAATGCACTGTTTTATTGTTGTACGTAATACTTGCAATACTTCTGAAGCAACTTACAATACATTACACCTACTGAATACACTGACTAGCTTGTAGTATCTTTGGAATAAATGTCACAGTCTTCAGCCGGTGTGCCCAGGAGGGCCACCAGATGACTGTGTTCTGGGAGCACATGGCTTGTGTTGTGTTTGTCTGTTGCCATGTGCTCTCTCCTGTCTATTGTCTGGCCCCTCCCATCTTGTTACCTCGTTATTGTTTTAGTTGCTCCACCTGTGTCTCCCTCGTTAGCCTCCTCGTTTGGTTCCTATTTATTCTCCTTGTGTCTGCCGGCCTGTGCTAAAAAATGCTGTCTAATCGCTCTCGCTGTACTTGTGTTTTATTAGGAGATGCACAACAGTTCTTCTGTGGCTTTATAGGTAATATTTTCACGTACACAATTTAGCAAAATCAGACAATATTGTGTCTAATATATACCACAATATTAACTTCTTATTATTGAATTGTTATAAATAAATATCACATTTGCAACTGGTCAGTGTTCAAAAAAAGAAAGTCACATTTTAGAGAAGAAACAAATCACCCACTGACTTTCAAAGCTGCTACATAGTAACGACTTTGTACTTCGAGGACCTTGATAGAAATGTAGTGGAGTGAAAAGTACAATATTTGTCTTTCAAGTTAAAGTCATAAGTTTCCAGAAAAAATAATACTCGAGTAAAGTACCGATACTCAAAAAGTGTACTTAAGTACAATACTTAAGTAAATGTACTTAGTTACTGTCCGCCTCTGCATATGGGACACTATAATCGTCTTTTTACGAGTCAGTAATGGCAATAATGGCATTCCTTACAAATGTTTCTCAATTCAGCTCCTGGGGGCTATTTTTTGGATGTCTCACTGCCATTTAGGTCATGGAGGACCTTACTAATGAGATAATGTGCTAAATCCAAGGGCTCTAGGTTTGGCTGGTTAGCATTGCCCTGTTAGCCCCTACTAGTAGATGCTATAACTACACCATCTGGTTCTAAAAAGCATCTATCACTATTGACAGCCATTCAAAATTGGCAATGCATAGCCAAGCAGCATATATATATATCGCTAACATTTTTCATTACATTTAATTTCATGGACTCACTGCAGTGTACAAGGGAGCACTTTTGTAGGTCCTTCCTCTGTGCTGCTAGCAGGGTGTACAGCTCTGTACTCCAGCCAATTTAATCTTATCTTATCCTATCCAATCTTGTTTGTTAAACATCAAAGACTTCCTGTTTTTATGCAACCACCTGCAGAACGAAGTCAGGCCCCAGCAGGCAAAACAGGCTTGTGTCTGGCTTCAGCAATCGGCCGGCGACTGGGGTCTGCGGAGATGTTGCATGAGGAGGGTTTGTTATGGACTGACGAGAGGACACTTTGTCTCCTAATTTACATTTGAATTGTCTTTGAAAAACCATAAATGGCTTCTCGCCTCTTTCCAAATGTTGCAGCTAAAGTGAGTACAAGCACAGAGACATGGAGCTGTAATAAGCACATGCCACTCAGCTTCACTATATTCAATTTGAAACATTTTCGATGTTTCTCCGAGCTCTGGATTCAGAAGGATGGTGATTTTTCAATTGATGGACATTTAGATTGCTCACTAGGCTGAAACACAAGGGAGCTGCAGCATCCTATTGAAGTGTCTCCCAACAATTCAGCATCTGACATTTATCAAATGCCTCAAAAAGCAAATTGCCACCCAATTTTTTTGACATCTCTCAGGAACCGTCTCAGTACCAGAAATATTTCTATAGGGGATTGAGAAGAGCCTTTGTCTTTTGTCAAAGCGTCAAGACTCATTATACACAAGTCCCTAAAGAGGCTACGCCAAGCACTGGTATTATCCTTAATTATTATAGCCCTAACCAATTAGGAGATCCTTAACAAATCATTTAATGGGTAGTGGGGTCTACAGTAACAAGCTGATGATTCTAGGAGAGCTGATTAACAAATTGTGCCCCATTATAAAGCCAGAGATAGTGACAGAAAGGTCACATACAATGTATTTGTATGCTGAACTTGCAAAAAAGGTGGTGAGAAGTGAAATAAAGATACAGCACATTCAAAGAGGTGGGGCAGATATTGCGTTCTAATCAGCATGGTTGGTTCACATTTTTTTTGTTCATTTCTACTGTGAAATCTCACTGGTCCAACATCCCTTTCCATATAACTACATACTATAAGTGAAATATTGTGCCCTTCAAGTGGAAATATCGTAATTACAAGGTATGAGCATATGAATGACCAAGCAAAGTCATATTTACAAGTGGGAAACTTTGAATTCTAAATAATGCACCAAGTTGTGACTTTGGGAGCGTGACGATTTAAAACACTGATCTATAATTTAGACAATATATAATATAATATAATATAATACACTTAAAATCTATATATACAGATCTGTGAGCAGAAAACGCTTCGGTTACTGACGTAACCTCGGTTCCCTGAGATAAGGGAATGAGCGTTGTGTATGGGGTAAACTCCTGTTTACTCTATTGCTGAAGCCTGATTTGTTCACGTTTGTGTAGCTGCACAAACCAATGGTGCTTTAGCCCACCAGAAAGGGTGGATCAGACGTGTATATAAGTCGGCTCGCAGCGCCATTTCATCAGAATCATTCAACTAAAGCGACAGTCATCGATTCGCGTGCACCTAATAGCACGGCAAGTGACACAAAGCTCATTCCCTTATCTCAGGGAACCGAGGTTACGTCAGTAACCGGAACGTTCCCTTTCGAACGTTCACTTCATGTTGTGTATGGGGAACAAATCCGATCATGCCGTGCTATGAGCAGAAGCAGACTAAGCCGCTCTGCGAGCCCAGTTCTGGAGCACTTAAGTTAAGGGCCCCTAGAGAACATGAGCCAACTGAGTCCCGAGCATAGCTGAGGACTTTTGGACATAGCTAGTTCCACCGTAGGGAGAAATAAGTAGTTTAAGCAGTTTAATCCGATAAAAATCCATACCAGCAGGCGGCTGCACATATCTCACCAAAAGATATCACACCTATGGGGGCATTGCAAACCTTCTGAGGCATAAGCCAAGGCTATAGCGTCAATTATCCAGCGGTACAGTCTTTGCTTTGTAACCGGCAGCCCCTTAGAGCAGCCTCCAAAGCAAACGAAAAGCTGCTCCAACTGTCTGAACAAGCTGGAGCGTTCAAGATATATTCTCAGGACACTGACAGGGCAGAGAACATTAGGACCCTGCTCACCATCTACAGCGGGGAGTACTAGAAAGGTAATAACCTGGGCTCTGAACAGAGTTGAGAGCACCGTCGGAACGTATCCATGTCTAGGCTTGAGGACAACTTTACAGTCTCTAGGCCCAAATTCCAGACAGGAAGCACTGATTAACAGTGCTTGTAAGTCACCCACTCGCTTGACCAATGCTAGTGCCAGTAGCAGGGCGGTTTTCAGCAACAAAGGGCATAGTTCGGCTCGAAGGGAGGACCTTTTGAGTGTGGAAGGGGCGCGCCCATTGTCCAGCACAACAGTACACCAGTCACGAAAGACTGACCACTTGAGGGCGTAAAGGCGTCTTGTAGACAGTGCTCTAGCCTCTAAAATGGTATCATTCACTCTCGCTGGGAGCTGCGTAGGCTCCCGTTGAGGCTCCATACATGAAGGCTCCACAAATCTGGCTGGGGATGCCAAATCATGCCTTTTGCCTGCGAGAGAAATCTCGTCTCAGTGGTATCGGGGCTGCTACTGAGAGCTGCACTAACTCGGGGAATCAAGCCTGGTTCCTCCGGAATGGGGCCACCAAGAGAACGGACACCACTCACACCCGTTGAGAGAGAGCCGCTGCTCTGCTGTTTCTTTCACTTAGGAGAGAAAGGAAACAGGAGAGCAGAGCCGGAAGTACCGCCTTCAGTGAAGAAGGCGATGCGCGAGCGAAGACTGGACAAACTCATATTCTCGCAAAGAGAACATGAGCCATCAGCGAGCGCAGTTTCTGCATGGGCACTGCCCAGGCATTTGCAACAACGTGCGCTGGAAATTTGCTCTAATTTGCTCTTTTAGAAAGCGCTGGATGGCCGCAGGGGAGACTCGTCCTCTGCCGGGGGCTCTTCGATGGCAGAGAGTGGGTTGAGCTTCTTTCCGTCTTTCCGATTCTGATGAGATGGCGCTGCGAGCCGACTTATATACACGTCGGTTCCGCCCTTTCTGGTGGGCTAGAGCGCCATTGGTTTGTGCAGCTACACAAACGTGAACAAATCAGGCTTCAGTAACAGAGTAAACAGGAGTTTACCCCATACACAATAGCAAATGGTGCAAAGTTAATCACTTAACTTTCATGGATTGTTTTATGTAACAAAAACATTCAGTTGTGAGATCTTAAATAATAGACTGAAATGAATAATTTTCATGAATTTAGATGCTGTTATTTTGGCTTATTGTTCACAATATTATTATTTTATTTAGTTTTATGTTTCTGACTTGAATGCATATCAAAACAACGCATGTCCGACTCAGCGGTATACATTTACCAGGTGCACTTGAAGGCAAAAGAAGTTCTGCAGCATTTTCTCTTTCAGTGTGGACAAACAAATTACTTCTCACCAGTATCCCGTCATGCCAAAGAACAAAGGAGAAGGACTGAAACTGAATTAGAAATAAATGTGCTTAATGTGCCCTGAGCACCTGTGAGCAGTTCTCTGATCTCCACGTCTGTTGTCTTGCGCAGGAGCCGCACAAGTGCAGGGATCCCACCGCAGTTCTTCAGGGCGATCTTGTTGTCGTCATTGGCCTTGCCGTAAACCAGGTTCCTGAGTGCACCACAGGCGCTCCTGTGCACATCTGTCATACGGTGATCCAGCAAGTCCACCAGCAGCTGGATCCCACCCAGCCTCCGTATCTGATATTTATCAGGAATAATTTACATTTTAAAATATGTTAAACTAAAAAAGATTTATTTAAATTTGTAATAATATAACACAGTATTACAGTTTTTTTCCTGCATTCCGGATCAAATAAATGCAGCCATGGTGAGCATAAGAGATTCTTACAAAAACATTTTAAAAATCTTGCAGTTGGCATCTGACTAGATTGGCAAGTTTCCACAAAGTGACAGATAAAGAGTTAAAGCATTTCCTCCTTTTTATTAAAAGTTAATAACCTTTATATTTTGTTATCTTAATTATGTGGGATTATATGGTTAGCATACGAGCACTAAATAGGCTGAATCAGCAGATAAATTCAAATTAACCTGAAATAATGATCCTCACTGCAAGGCCTTATTAGTACATAGTCTATATATGCAGAATGTATGTGATGTTGGTATGCAGGAGTTACCTCTGATTTGATCTTGTTGTCTCCAAAGCACAAGTGCTGGAGGTAGGCGGCAGCGTTGGACTGTACCGATGGAAACTGGTGCTGCAGCATTTGGATGACCTCCGGCAGTTCAGGATCCCTCCAGCCAAATTCCCTGAAGAGGCACATATACACACAAAAGTGAACGTGGAGAAGCTTTGACCTAAAGAAACACTATAACATTAAAAGAGCATGTTTGTGAAGGTGTCTATAATAACAGCATACACTACAAGCCAAAAGTTTTTGAACAGTAATATTATAATATTTTTTAAAGAAGTCTCTTTAGCTCACCAAGCCTGCATTTATTTGATCCAACGTACAGCAAAAACAGTAAAATGTAAAAATATTTTTACTATTTAAAATAACTGTTTTCTATTTGAATATATTTTAAAATGTAATTTATTCCTGTGATTTCAAAGCTGAATATTTAGCATCATTACTCCAGCCACATGATCCTTCAGAAATCATTGTAATATTCTGATTTGCTGCTCAAAAACTTTTATTACTATTATTATGTTGAAAACAGCTGAGTGAATTTTTTTTTAGGTTTCTTTGATAAACAGAAAGTTCAGAAGAACAGCCTTTATCTGAAATGGAAATCTAAAAAAAAAAAATAATAATAATATATATATATATATATATATATA